AGTACAGAACAGAGTGACACGGGGGTGAAACATTTAAACACGGGAAAATGTGTTTACCGTATACCTTTTGATATATTTTGTTTTTTTTTACGGGACACGGGATTTCGACAGGCAGACCGTGCAACATTCGCGCCACTGATTTCTATTCTGGGCCATATCTCTCAGCGTCTCTAACCGACGACAATCCTCGTTCCTTGGTGCGATTCCGGCTGCCCAAACTTCACGAACCGATAAAATCAATCTAAGCCGTTTGACGGTCATTTTGCCTTTGAAACTGGCTTTCTAAAAAAAACATCTGACACGGCTTGAAAGTTCATGTGTGGATAGAGGTGAAAAGCTAAATTGAGTGAGGTTCACTGTTCTGACACGTGAGTATCGCAAACTACTTGATTTATATATCACTAACAACACCATAATACAACTGATGTGGCATATTCCAGTTATTAGACCACCAGAATATTTTTACAACGGTGAATTTAGTCATTACCTCCAAGTCGGATACTACTAATTTTTCGGGTTCATGTATCTACCTTCGATAAAGTCGAGAGTTTTCACTTAATGAAACCATGATAGGGGGTACAAAGGAAACAAACGAACACGAACATTTATATTCTACCCCAAAAGATAGGTAGACAGACAGACAGACAGGTAGATAGACAGACGGAGATATATATATTTTTTCGGCATTGTCTAGTCATTCACATACTACTTATTATGAAACATAAATATATATACATACATACATACAAACATACATAAATACATACATACATACATACATACATACATACATACATACATACATACATACATACATACACATACATACATACATACATACATACATACATACATACATACATACATACATACATACATGCATACATACATACATACGTACATACATATACAGACAAACAAACAGATTGACTGACTGACCGCCAGGCGGACAGACAGACAGACAGACGGAAAATATATGATTAAAGTTGGCCTAATGGTTATGAGAGGTAAACTATACACATACACACATCAAACGGAATTACAATCAGAAAGTAAATACGAATCAAGGGTTTGATTGAGCATTGATAAGGCGATAAACTGTCTGAAGTTTTATTCTGAATAATAACAGTTTTTCTTCGTCTGAAAAAATCACTTATTCAATTATATAACTGAATTTCAGTGAGGAAGAAATGGTTGATTTGTATCTGGCAATAGAAATCAAACGCGAATACGTGGAGTGTCGGAAAGGGGATTATAACAGGCAATCCACAGGCCGGTTGACTACCACCGAGGATTTTCCGCGCTGATGAAATATACGTGCCACTAACTTTAACTGTCGGAGCTCGAGGCAAACTGTGTTTCCCGTGTTCGATCGTGGTTGCCACGTTTTAACTTAGGAATAATAACTTATGGTCAGCGTCCAAAAGGATTCTGGCTTAATGAATACAACCTTCGGACTGGTATGTCTTTTATTCCGGTTTCGTTATTTACCCCGTATTTTATTTGCCCCTGCCATTCCGCTTAGTCCATTGTTGCTCGTGGGACATTGAACACGATCGCAGCTGAATGCGGATACGTGCCGACATTCGTGAACTTTTCCGCTCAGACCAGTAGCAATCGAACACAAGAAATGATTGAAACCAAATTGGAGAAACGTAAAAAGGGTGTTCGAGGCGCTCCACGGGACAAACGTGTCATTCTATTTGTGGACGATTTGAACATGCCCAAACAGGACACGTATGGAAGTCAACCGCCCATTGAGTTGTTGCGTCAATTTCAAGATTTTGGTGGGTTCTACGATCGGGACAAGTTGGAATGGATTGAGATTCAAGACATGACTTTGTCTGCTGCTTGTGGTCCACCGGGTGGTGGTCGAAATTCAGTCAGCCCGCGCCTGATTCGACATTTCTCTGTTCTGGCTATACCTCCACCGTCTGAAGTCAGTTTGAAGCAAATTTTTTTGGCCATTATTCAAGTAAGTTTACCCAAAACTATTACTAACTGGCTACATTAAACGCCGGAAGTTTGTGGATGGTGTCCGTTCATAAGTCACATGATTGCACTCTTCACGTTACAATCAAATGTCTGAAACAATATTCATGGGATCAGGATATTTTTCCATTTTGGTGCGCTGGATAACCTGATACTTGATTATCGTCTGTTTGGGATTAATTAAACGCAAAATCGATCAAATTAATTACTCGATTTTCCGCAAACTGTTTCCGCTATGAGACGTGTTTTATATACAGTACAAATTGTTGTTTGGCAGATTGAATGTTTTATGTTGACATTATAAAACATTCAGTAGTCCAGGTGGGATTCGAACCCTCGCATGGACGCTGCCTACGCTTTTGCTCAGCGCACGCTCTACCAGCTGAGGTGTGAGGCCACACCGCATAGCACTGATCTTTTCACATTCAAATTACTCATCCACCTTACAGAGGCATATAGTGGTTCAGTTTTATTTTACACAATTCTAAGGACCTAGTTCTTTTCAATCGATGAATAACAAAAATTAGCGAAAGTTAGCCATATGAAGAAAGCTCAAATCGTTATCAACTTCATACCGCGTACCCTAATTGGCAATGATTTTAAAAGTTGATTGGTTACCCTAAAGCACACATTGTGTTCTGTTACTTGTGGTTTGTTTATTCTACCGAATTAATTTGATTCAAAACAAACAAACAAACACCACGTTGATGATTGCAAATGAAGCAGATGTATGAAGCATAGGTTTTCTGCTTCATTTGGATAGGAAGGAGTGAATCGGATTGAGTTCACGGGTATTACAATTTATCGACAAGTTTCAATTCCAATCTTCAAGCGATGTGATACGGTTTTCTTTATTTCTTCCAGGTCTGTGTCTACAATTCTGTCAATTACTATTGACGGACGATGGATATTCAACTAGCGGATAGGCCGTTGTCCTTCAAGAGTGGTTATTTTTTATCACATTCCCTAGGGATGAACAGTCGAAAGGGATTAATCATTATGGTCATGATAGCCGGCAACCTAAAAACCGAGGAAGTGGTGTGACCAACGACATAAAGTTCCGGTAGAGCATGTGTGATATTGAACCGGACACTCAGTGCATCGGTGTACGTAACAGTCCAAACCATGCCTAACGTAGTAGTAGGATAATAACTGGACGGTTTGATAAGAATAGACTTCTTCAACTCACAGGATTTACCCATTGATTAAGATCATATCGAGAGGCCAACATGAATTCCACGAAATCATTATCAACTGTGTCCAATCATACATTTATCTGAAACAAAATTCATATTGGTCAAATAGAAACGAGAATAAGTGATGTGCATTTTGATGCGCCCAAAACCAATTCCAAACTGAGGTGGTGCTTGGATTACGCAATCAAAATTAACTGTTACATCACTTGAATCAACTTTCCTCGTGCGCAATTTAGGCTTCATGATGTTTCTCGGCCCGTCCATCACTAACATCCAAAAACCTGGTGCTCCTGAGGAGTCTGGTCGGACTCGATAAGAACTGAGCTTAACACAGTTCCACTACTACCGTTTTTGTCATTGTGGATTGATACGGTGAGATACCTGCTTTGTCGTTCGACCTGCGTAAGTCGCACTATAAGGGCACTTGAATCGATGGAAAACCATATTCGAGATCAACATAGGTAACTTTTCTTTGCTATGACATCGAGACAGGAGACTAATTTATATACGTTGCGCTAGACTCTCTGGATGGGGACATCGGGATCATTGGTTAGAGGCACTGAGTTATGCGGCTAAGTGTCGTGAACAGTGGCGTTCGTGCATTTTCTCACTTTCTTTGAAACCCTAGTCCACTGAAATTCGCCATTGTCTCTTCTACTACTCTTCTTCTCTTCTCTTCTACTTCTCTTCTACTATTCTACTATCCAATTTCCTCTCATTCTCCCACTGCTTTATCCTAATGGGCAGCCAAAAGACAGCAACCAAAACCATGGCACGAAATTGCATGGCTGTAAAAACTGAAAATGAGTTTATAGTTACAACGGAAGCACGCATCTTACCTTAGCGGTACAATGAAGNCAATGAAGTGGTTTCACTGTAGGGGATAAATACTGTCGGCGGTTGCACTTCTGTTCAATGAAAAATAATCTACTTCTCCGCTCGATACATTTTTGTTGGCTTCTGTTCAATTCACTTACAGTCGACTCACTTTTTGAGATAGCCACCTTCCAGTAAAGTTCTCTTCACTGGTTCCAGTTGATCTCTTAAAGCATCTTCCGAACAGATGTGTCTTGATCTCCGTAGGAGACAGCGTACTGGGTCACGTTTTTGATAGAGTGAGACGAAATTGTAGAAACGTATGTAGCCCACACTCTACGGAAAGACCTCAAGCCGTTTAAATAGTTGCTCATCCAAAAACAGGAGTCACTCGTTCTCCTCCAATTCATTTGCCATCTTGATTGGCGAATGTGTCGCTTTGAAAATCTGATTTAACGTAATCGAGATTGCTGTTCTCGGCAGCCTCGCAAAATCTATCATCTACGTAACGGTCACATTGGTCAAAGAGTTATTGAGTACCAAGTGCACACAAGGTAATTTTCTGAAATAACCAAAAATGTGAATCTGAAAAAGCGACTGATATTCTCCGTGGATGTTGTTTTTTTCTTTTCTTTAAAAGTGTCCTATTATTGATGACAGTTGATTTCATCTGTGAATTTATTAGCACAGAATTGACATATGTTGACTACTACCATCAAATGAATGATATTGTTGCTATAACTTTACCTATTTGGCAAAATCCTCCCGACATGTTCATAACCAAGTGAGAGACAACTACGTTAACCCCAGCTATTGGTTTTTTTACAATTAATATCTCCGTTTGTATGCCTTCATTCATTGTGCAAACCTTGGGTAAACATGCCAGGCTGATTGGGGTGGATTATCCTCATAACTATTAAGAATTCGCTTAGTGAATCCACCTGTCCATTCATGCGAACACTCAATGTGATTTCCATTTGATCGTTTTTTTTTCAGGGATTCCTCCGAGACTTCCCGCAAACGGTGCGTGGAGTTGCCGAGTCTGTGATCAATGCGGCCGTGGAAATCTATGTCCGAATGGCCAGGGAGTTGTTGCCTACACCGGCCAAGTCTCACTACGTGTTCAATCTGCGTGATTTATCCAAATGCATTCAAGGTACGCATGAACGACAATGTTGTATGTCAACTTTCAATTTCGGAATCCGGCCAAACATCGTTGTTCTGTTTGATCAAGGCGCCAGTTGTTGTTGTGGTTGTTGTTGTTGTTGGTGGTGGTGGTGGTGGTGGTGGTGGTGATGATGATGATGGTGCATCCTGACTGAAAACCGAAAACGGTCCATTAGATTGAATTAAATTTGTAACACTGTAATAGTAAGCAAATTATTACTATTCAATATGTGAAGCTTTGACTCCATCTTCTTCATTGTACGGCAGCATGCGGTGAATTGAACCTCACCGATCTCTATTAAACTCGTAACGTTTAATGAGTAAACATCGATGTGTAAAGTAGGTAGTGGGTAAGGTTTTTACAGCGTGGGGAAAACTTTTTAAACCGGTTTGTGAAACGATTTTTATGCTCCTTCGTGCCTGAGCTTGACCGTGCAAGGTTTCAGTGAACACATAACGATATTGATACAACCGCCAAGGTTTACTAGAGCAATTAACATATTGGTTCTCTTCGACGATTTCTTTTAATCATACCTGATGTCTCAAAAGGGTTCACGTAAAACGTAACACGGCTCACTGGGTTTGGGGTTTCCAACTCAGTCCTTTCAAAGCTTTTTTGTTAACCCCTACATCTTAGAATATGTTCTTTTCCCGGTGAACAACGACAAGTAAAACCGTGATGATTTAATATTCTATAAATCATGTGTTGTAAAATTCCACAAGCCCGGACCGAATTCCAACGCTAAAATGTTCAGGTAATGAGCAACACTGATTTATTCCAAGATTTTTTTCATCTTCGAGCCTCAAACTTTTATCAGAGAATCTTTTGCTAATTGACATTTCACTCAGAGTTACTTGGAAATAGTGGTGTAGGATAAATGATTGAACATCCTTCGGACTCCATCTCTATATATACAATTCTCAGTTCATCCATTCAATCACACCCAAAAAGCACTACAGACTCGAGTTTCTCTCTCTCTCTGCAGGGCTCATCAGTCGTGCATATCAACCGTAAAGGTTGGGATTTAAGCTCCGAACCTATCGTGTGCAAGATGTGTGTGGCTTAACACTGTGCTACCCAGCTCACACCGGAGCTGGACAGAATTGCCGATTCATGTTTGTACAGATTTCGTCTTCATTGATAGTCAGAGATACCTACAAGTAATTTCAAACTGGAAATTGGTCGTGTATATAGCAAATGAAGCGTGAACTGAAAAGCTCGGAAGCACTGGACAGCTGTTTCGACCTGGTTGGGTCTCATCAGCAATCCATCGACCCGACTGGGGGTCGAACCAAAGACCTCACGGGCAGAACGCAAGCATACTATCCACTCGGCCACCGGGCAGCTGACCAGACTGTTTTTCATTTTCCATTGACACTATATAACACACTCTATCTTTGCGAGCTTGTTGTAGGCCACAGACCTCGCTCATCTCAGCACTAGCCTCCGAGGTTATGACTCGGTTGGAAACAATGACAATCTGACTACCTATTTCATTTAGGTAAGCAACAAGCTCGCAAAGATGAATTGTGCCATATCGTGTAAATGGAAATTGAGAAACTGTATACTACTTGTTAATTTTTTAACCGTTCCAGCTGAACTGCACTACTAACTGTACTACGATAGTTTACCACCCTTGATTTCTAATTTTTCCTATTCATTCTCATTCAACCCGATCCTGGGCAGGATTACTACAAGCAGACACTGGTGTGATCCGTGAGAAGAAAACATTCTGTCGTCTGTTCTTCCATGAGGCACAGCGGGTCTTTCATGATCGACTCATAGATCGAACTGACAAGCAATTCTTCAACGAGATGTTGGCAGAAATGTCCTCAAAATACTTTAGTGAGGTGAGTCAGACAAACGTAGTCACCCCTCCCCCTCCTTCCCTCAAATTGAGACTCGGGAATATGCATACAGTCACACGGAGAAAAAGTGAAATACAGCATCGTAAACTTAAAATAGGAATGTGGCGTAAAAGTTTGAAAATGGATGTTATTTGCGTAGTAATTTCAAAAGGTTCTGTCTAACGGATAAATGATATGCATTGGTACGAGATTATAACGACACGTTGGTTACAGCAGTTCTGTGTGTAGTAGGTGAGTGATATCTGATAGATTATTGTTGCAGAAGTTTTCGAAAGAGGTAAAATTTTTGTCGATGATAAAGTGCAACTAGGGAATACCGCTTGTGCGCGAAATGATTTCAATAGACTGGTGTAGAATCGTGTAATCTTTAACTCTAAGACCGGCAAATAAAACTGGGTAGCAGTAGAGAAGATGAGTGATAGCACAAGAATATACAAATCGAGTGAGTGAATACAGTGAAACTTTCGAAGAACGCAAGCGGGAAATAAAGAAACCCAATCGTCGAATCTTTACAAAAGTGGAATTTAAATGTGAAGTTCAGGTGAGATCTTGGCAGATAGTGATACCGAGGAATTATGGAGAACGTACTGGGGGAACAGGCTGGTTGTCAACATAGAGTACAGAACAATTTCTTTCCAAAGAATGTAGCCGTTCTCCTTTGTCGAGCCAGAAGGTGACATCCCTACGTTAAGAGGCATTGAGAGATAACTTGCAATACGAAGACCATAAGTTTAAGGCAGATAAACTGGTTTGAAAATGTGAGAAGTGGAAATCACCTTGAAATTTGAAACCTATGTTGACATCATCATCATCATACTTACTGAAAAGATCATCTGGGCTAGTGGGAAGGTCATGAGTATAGAAATAGAAAAGAAAGGGGGACAGAATTGCTCCCTGGAGCACCCCTGAGTTGACTGTCAAGGAAGGAGTCAGTGGTTTTTCCGAGAAAAATCGTGAACTGTGTTCTACCAGCGGATTAATCTTGGAGTAGAGAGAGGGTAGTATGGAACAATCCAGCACCTTGTAGAAGAGACAAACACCTACCCTGTCCTATCAACAGAGTTGAAAGTATTACTATAATCGAGGAAACAATTTCTTTGTAGCTGTAGTTTACTGGAGTTCTCAATTTTCTCCTCATCTCTACCTTCAACCTTCCTGTCTTTCTCCTACTGTTCGTCCAAATGGGCGGCCAAAAGACAGCAACCACAACCAGTGCATGAAAACGCATGGTTTATTGTTGTGGTAACTGAAACTGACACAGTTTCTGAATGCGACATCTTCATGTGACTCAACAATGGGACACTGGAGACTCACTCATAGAAAACCAAGTGAAATCATTCTTTCATGATACGTTAGTGAGCAGGATCTCCGGACGAAGGCTTTGAATGTGGGTAGAGTGAGGGAATTTTGGTGGAGGCACAGGCTATTATACACGAACATAAGGGAGCTTTTGAGTGAAAATGAATTATTAGTAACCACGGGTAATAAATTTACAAAATAGTGATTTGAGTTTAATCGAACAGGTGACGTGCTAAATCGAAAAATGCCTCTCGATGTTCCAGCCCGTTGCCACTGGACCACTATTCATCGATTCCTTCATTTTCCCTGATTCCCAACCAACTCATCATATGTACCAGGTTTGATCGCTGAAGTCATTCTCTATTCTGAAGGATTCGAGTCCTCGAAAAACTTGGCCTTGAAAATGACTCAGATGTACAAATTATGCAGCGAACAACTATCACAACAAGATCACTACGATTTCGGAATGCGAGCGTTGAAATCTGTCCTGGTCATGGCCGGTTCTTTGAAACGACAAAATCCTGATAAACCGGAAGATGTGGTCCTGATACGCGCATTGCGTGATAGCAATTTGCCAAAATTCCTAAAACAGGATGCTGTACTGTTCACGGTGCGTACTTAATTTGTTCTGTTCTAACTAAACCAAATGTTCTAATCACATGAAAAACGCCTTAGGCGAAGTGCTTTATTTTTCCGTTTTATGTCCTTTTATTGAATACATAATGACACGATTTTCAGGAACGGGGAAGCAGCCAATCAAACGGGACTGCCTTACAGCACACGGAGAATGGGGAAAGTCATGCGGGGGTGGTGTTGGGATACGAACACACGTCGTCTGGGGTGGCGTTACCATCAGGCCTTCATTAGGACTCGTTGTCAAACGTAAATGAAATGAATGAAGTAATGGGACTTACATCTTTCCGTGCAGCTGTGCGTTCGTTGTTTCTGCTTCCACCAGTCGTTACGGGTTTCGCCAATACGACTTAATGTTTGTTTATCTCAACGTGTCGGCTGAATGAATTGACCGAGTAAGGAGGAGCTTCGAGAATTCATCTTTTCGTCTTATTCTTCGCTCGCGCCACCACCTTTGCGTTATCGAACGCAATATTGTGACCTTTCTGTGCGCAGTGGTTCCAAATTTGTGACCTCGAATCAGCGCATCGGAGGGCAAGCCTCTGGTCGTATTGGCTAGGGTGTAGTTGTTTGCCCGTCCCACCTAATTTAATATTGATTGCAGTCTAGGCACGGGATTGCGTAGATTACACCGGATCGTTCGTGCTGTTCAACTCGATCCTTGCCGTTGAAGAGAAACGATCTCACAGTTGTTACTATTTTATGAACTGTTTTGATTTCCAACGATCGTAGTATCTATTCTGACGTCACACGCATGTAGGGTCACGTTATCCAAATTCCTTCTGTTGCGTGTGTTGTTTTGTACCCGTGATGCACGCGTTTAGAAAGCTCCTGGGATATGTGTCAGATAAGAACAATTGAAAGAGTCCACTTATTTCTCTTATGTCTAGCTCCGGTGTACTGTTATGTGTATTCGCTCTGCAGAATAGAGTTCGCACACAACTTTTCAAGGGATGGTTGTTGTTGTTGTTGTAATTGAGGATGCCTCAAGTTTGAGTTAGAGCTCAAACGAATTAGTTATAATTTTTCCACCCGACAATGTAGTTTAGATCGTAAACGCACATCTACTTTATTACACGCGGCAACACGATACACTGTCGTAGGGCTAAACACAAAAGGTACATGCGTGTGTGTGTGTGTGGCTGTGCATTTGGGCAAACTATGCTGGATTACCGCCTTGGAGACCATTGGCGACGTCATTCCATTATCGTGGTTCAGTTCTTCTTTGTGTCAGGATCCAACCTCGTACGACCAATGAGCAAACCGTCAAATAGACTCAACTGAAAAGTTACTAAGCTCCACTTTAACCACTTATCACTTGACTGTCTGACCTGGTTCCAGCAGTTGATTCCATATTTAAAATACATTCTATTTTCTCCGTTTATAAAGATCACTGAATATTTGTATGTCAGTAAAATAGGGAATGATTCCCTATGGAAACCTTCATATTTGTATTTTTTACAGTTAGCTTTGAGTTGTTTTAGTAATCTTAATTCAGGAAATTCAGGAATGGGAATCACAACTGCGAGTGAAACATGAAATCGTGGGGGTAAATGTATACTAAAATCCCTCTGATTAACGAGATGCATGAAGGCTATAAAAGCGGTGATTAGTTTATTGCGGAGGATTAATGCGGCTAAATAATATGTAAAAAATTATTTCATTGGCTGAAACAGTTGTGCCCAACCGTAGTTCATGTTCTTCCGGACACCTGTATCCTGTTTGAACCATGTGGATTGTGATTGATTGGTCCAGAACACCCGCTTATCATTGGTCAATCTGACGCTGTATTGCATGGTTGTCACGGAGCGGTGTTTCAACAAGCTAGTTTTTTGAAACCAGAAAGTTGCACAAATAATAATTGTAATAATTGTACTATCACTAAAATAACTGTCTTCTTTGGTAAACACCGGATAGGTTTTGCCTTTGGAGACAGAGATTCACTTTCTTTTATCTAAAAAGAATTGGGACGAAATCGATGCCAACAAAATCTCGCATCCCCTGGCATGTTCAGCACTTGAATAACGAAACAACAATACCCAATCACACTTTGTCAAAGGCGAATGCTGTTAGTTGAGGTATACGAAAAAAAATGCACAGGTGTTCTCTGTCAGTCTTAGTTAAAACAGTCCGTCACTTAGCACACATTCACGATATTTCTACGCTCCGTGGAGTTTGTTTTGCATGTGCTATTCCATGAGCTAATTATAAGACAGACAGCGGTGAGCATTTTATGAACAGCCTAATGAGTTTAAGTAAAACTATAACAATCATTGATTGATGTAACCATATTATCGTCATGGTATTCTTTTTGTATTTTGCATCACATTAGTAGAAATTGAGAAATAGAAATTTAGTATTTAGTCTTTTAATAACTGGTGGGACAATGTCAACGGTGGTCAAACTAAGACCTGATTCAAAGGTATTAAACCCTGACCAGGAGACTCGGTCATGAGGTTTGCCTTAGGCCTTCTAGATGCAGATCTCGGAATCAGTGTAATCGAGTGATATGGTTGAGTATCGTAAACCGTGGCACTCGTACATCTACACAATGTCCAGACACTCTTAATCTTAATGAATTCTCTACTTTTCACCTTCACCCTATTTCCAGGATTCTAATCTTCCCCCAATTTCTGCATCCAAATCGGTAGCTAAATCGGTAGCTGACAATCGAAACCGTCACTCGAAAGTGCACGGTGAACGGTTGTATACATTTAGGCTGAAACTAAATAACGTGGTGTTTAGGACCGAAATAGCTGAACAAAATGTTATGCATTGCAAAGTCACGGCCGGAAAACTCATGACTGTACACCCGGTCAGGGTAAGTCTGCCGGTTACTGAGTACCGACGATGAGCCAGCAACAGACCAAGTTGCTGCCTCTCAAAAGTAATAGTATACACATGATGAGTTAGTTGTTTCGGCGGTCGGTTTTACGAAGACAAATCAAACATTGGACAAACCGTCATCATCTACGTATTAGTGTTTGGTTCGAAACCCGTGAACGGGTTTCACACTCGTTAGGCCGTGATGCAGAGACAGACAGACTGACAGACAAATCACTCGAGGTGGTTGCTTTGGTCACAATTCATCTCAAATGAGGTCGTCCCGTAGTCTCGTTATCATATTTTAATGGAGTTGTGAATGTCCTGCGGATTCGGGAAGCCGAAAACGCATTTGAGTTATGTTCACAGTTTCAGGTCAATTTTCTCGTCATTTCGTTCCGATTCAGGCTATCCTGCAAGATTTGTTCCCCGGGGTCACATTGCCGGAACATGATTACGGTCGCTTTTTGGCCGAAATCCAGTCCGTTCTTCAATCCATGGGTTTACAAGTTGTCCCGGCTCAAGTCACTAAAGTGATTCAATTTTTCGAAACCCTGTTAGTTCGTCACGGTGTCATGTTAGTCGGACCGACTGGGGGTGGAAAAACCACGGTATATCGTGTACTGATCAAAGTGTTGACCAATTTACACGATGCTGGTCTATCTAGTGAAGTGCCCGAATATCAACCGGTCAAAACGTATGTTCTCAACCCGAAAGCGATCACAATGGGTGAATTGTACGGGGAGGTGAACAAGCTCACGCTGGAATGGCACGATGGACTGTTGGCCTCAATCGTGAGACGCACGTGTGTGGTGAGTAACTGAAGGAAACCATGTTCTACGCAAATGCATGCGACTTTGCTCGTGGTTTGATGAGTTACGCATGAACAAAATGGCCCATCGTTCGTTTTTTTCTTCGTTTTCTTCGTCTCAGGTGTAAGTATTTAGCTGTTGAGTCCTGAATCGTTTCTGTTCACACCGGGGTTTTCATCACCTCATGATTTGAATTTCTCCTCTGTTCCCGTTGGATCGTGTATCACCTGCTCTTATCTGTATTTGCTGATTGGTCCAGGTGTCCAGCCATCATAACCATACAGAATCCATTATCTGAGTCTAGAATAAGCACTCTCTGATCAGCCAATAAGGGAACGCCACGTTGCTCTACACGGCTTATCGATTTATCTTGACAAATGGACACTTGTAGGTGTTCACTCAATTACATCATTGAGAATGTCACCTCGATCAGTTATGAAACATTTGCCACCTAAGTTACCGAATTCAGAGAAAACTGAACATCTATAGTTAAACTAGCCGCGTAACAAAAATAATCATCAACAACGTTGAGGAAATTAGTTTGCCTTAGCCACGACGAATGGAAAAAAACCAAAAGGCTTTGGTGGTTTACAAAACTGTCACTCATGTAAAGATTTGAGTAAAATTGTGTTTGGCATATGTTCCTGTCAGCTCATCTGTTTACAACTGAATGCCAGGATGTTCCGACGAAAGACTAGTCCGACCACAGGATCGTCAAGACTTTACGCCCCATTATATTGTCTATCCGCCTTGTTGTTTCATGCAATTGGGTCCAGTGTCTCCGAATTAGGTAGAGTCGAACAGACATTGTCCGAGCATCTGCCCCAGACGGTTCAAACAGTACAGTTGCAGACAGTGGCGCAAAGTGTTGTATATATGTATCTACAAGACATTACCGGGACAAGGAGAGTTGTTTATCACGAACAACAGTAAGGATATCAAGAAACTGGCTCATATACAATAAAACGTTTCATTTGGAACAGGTTATCATAAATCCCACAAGCACGCAGGATTGTTAATGCAACGATCCAATATTAGATGCACATTTTCAGCAGTTACAATTTTGAACGTGTTGATTCGCTCCAGGACGTCTTGTTTATTTTGAAAACTGTGAGATACCGTCAAATACCTCCTTCTTCGCACGCCAACCGTACTACTCACAAGTGTGGGTAGCACCTCACAACAACAGGAAGACTATCTACCCCCGAACACAGTTCCATTGACCTCATTGTTATTCCCGCGGTGCTATCTCGTACGCGAGTGATATCGGTTGTCGTCCACACAATGATTTTCGGTCATGATCTGCCCAACAACACAGCACACCTTTGGGAATCATGAAAAAACCATCGATTCATCGTGGTTCAGCGAATTTTTCAGGGATCACGTTTGAAATGAACACATCGAACGAATCCGGCCAGAAATAAAAATTGTTTACCTTAATCAAACACGGGGCCATCAGGTGATCAACCAAACCTGATGGTTCACAGATGAGGACTAACAGTAAATCTGACACTACATTCATTAATGGGATATTTTACCTATCGTTCTACATTAGGACAGTTGGACAAATGTTTGTAAATTTGATTTACTTTTCACCCAAACTGAGAAAATTAATTTTCTTTTTTGGCCAACTAATGAAAATCAAATAAAGTGTCATTCGAACTGGAGGAGCATTTGGCCGACACAGAACAATAAATTGAACCTTCGTTGAACATCGGGTAGCTAGTTTAATTGTTTGGATGTAAAAACGTGATCCTTGTGTTCCGGGGATGCATAGGGATTGCCAGTACATGAGAAAAAAAACATGAAACAACCGAGGTAAACAATCAACGACAAATGTAATACTAATAAAATCAAGCTGATATTGAATGTGCTCTGTTCGCTTGCCTCAACCCAGGATCTAACAGAAGATCATCAATGGGTGATTTGTGATGGGCCTGTGGACGCACTGTGGATTGAGAATATGAACACCGTACTGGACGATAACAAAATGCTCTGTCTGGCCAATTCCGAGCGTATCAAACTGACCAACTATGTTCACATGCTATTCGAAGTGCAAGATTTGGCTGTGGCTTCTCCGGCCACTGTCAGTCGTTGCGGCATGGTCTATGTGGATCCCGAGGAACTAGGCTGGATGCCATATGTTCAGGTAAGTGTAGAATTGAATTATTTATCTACAATGCTACGTTCATCAATAAGGGTTTGTTGAGCGAGGATGCCTGACTCTAAAAGGCCACTCCAAATTTTGTTTGGAATATCAAGCTATCTCAATCCTCATAAGCAACCACCTGGGCTCGCTCCACAGGGCAAATCCTTACTTGCCATTGAGACCGGTTATTCAGAAAGTGCTCATAATTTCTAATTATCAGATGGTTGGTGATATAACTGCACCTTAAGGGGCACAATGATGCTCGATCTCGTTTGTTTCAGGGACAGTTCACAACCTGATCGATCACAGCTGATTGCAGCTCTTCACGCCTATTCACACTTTACAGTCTCACTCAACATGATCTTGAGAATCATCGCCTTCACATCTGCCTGTTTCGATTAGCAGTAACGTTATGTTCTTTTGAATCCAAACGACGATGAAAAAATTAGATTGTGGTTGGCAGAAAGTCATTCGGGATCGATTATATATTGAACTACATGTAATCGTTGATGTACGCACAGAACACAGATTACAAATTACGTATGAGAAATCATGGATGCCACGTAAGTACTGAATCACACTGGCACTTGCACGACAGTATCTCACTTAACCGAGACTCAAGGAAAATGCCACAGGCATAGCAGTTCATTTATTGAAAGAAATGATGGGGTTCAAATAATATGTACAAAAGAATTTCATTGGTCATCCAAGCTGCTGCCAGTTACGTGCTCGTATTCCTGTCGTCGCACAGTTTCTATCTGAACCTTAAGGCTTCTGGTTGGTGGGTACAAGCGATCTATGGTTCGTAGTTTAGGCCTTTATCAAGTCAATTAACAAGCGAATATGTGAGACGGAATGGTTCAACACACGAGTGGCGGCTAAACCCAGTATGGATGAACGGCTTTTGGCGATCAAGAAGCTAATTGGAACAAAAGCAATTTTCTGTAGACTGCACCATCAGCGAAACCTCACCCATCAACGGCAGGCTGCGTCCCGTAACACCGAGGATTTGCAAAGATGTTGGACGGATTATGGCTACGGGACAAATTGATCGTTACACTTCAGTAGAACTGATAGGTTCCGAAATTCCTATGTCCACAATGAATTTGTACTGCACACCGGATTGCAGTATCACACCTTTGTGTGTGAATTGGGAATACTGGCTTTGGATTCATAATAAAAACACAGGGCTTGTGTCTTACTCTGTTGATAGCTGTGCTAGATTACAGCACATTCTCCCGATGTGACTAGTTTTCCCATGAGTATGGCACTTTATAATGCGGAATTGACAAGTGGAGCGCAAGTGGTAAGCTCCACATGATAGGTGCGGGTTGATATGTTTCTCGTTACTTGAAGTATCGCTTTGTGGCTTGGATGTACGTTTGATCATTGGTGGTCAAACTGGTTGCTGTCTCTTCGGTTGGAATAAAAAGACCCCCTTGATGGAAGTTGCTTGCATTAGATCACTGTGTTGTTTACAGATCTTGCGTGCCTCGGTGAACGTTATGTCCTTTTCTTCTAGCAGTTTCCTTTGAAATATCAAGTTTTTTTTATACCTGCCACCAAACGGTCACACAATTGTTCCTCCAAAAGATCACTGTAGTTGCAAAGTGATGTCTGCTTGTTCAACTGGAGGATGAAGTCGCGACAATTTCGTAGCAAAGAACTGAATTTGGCCTTCTCTCGTGTGCCGGGTATTCAGTGGCAGCAGGTGGTCAGGCAGAAGCCGCTTCCANNNGGTTTTGCCGGGGCCTCAGGAAGTTCCAGGTTCTTGAACAGGGAAAAGAGGTCACGGCCACCAGCAGTGAGAAACACGGCTAATTTTTTCTGCTCACCACCTTTGCGAATACTACACCACAGCTCGAACCGTTATACCCCTTCCTGGATTTCCGAAGGATTGGTATGCAGGTTCAGTTGTTCAATAGTTGGTAGCTCCATCATGCGACGCCAAATTGTAGTGATCGAAATAGTTGTGAATCACGAATTACGAATCAGGAATCACAAACCACGGACGCAATGGAAACATTGAATAGCACTAGTATTTGCATGCTGGTATCCCATGTAACCGAGACGCAAGAAAAAGGCCACGGAAGTAGCACTTCCCCTATTGAAAGAAATCAAGGAGATTAAATAACATAAACAAAGGAACTTTATTGTTTATGCAGGTCGCCAGCAATGGCTTGTTCGTACTGTCGACGTCACACAGCTTCTATCTGGACCGCACAACTTCTGGATGGTTGGCGCGATCAGCCTTTGGTTCGTTGTCCAGAACCTGTAATGCGTCGCTCTGTGGCTGACGTTATCCCGCAGGCTAGGGTCACCACACTAAAGTAACCGGGTGTTTTGTATGAGGAAAACACTCGTTGCCGTGCTCACGTTCACTTGATGTCCAGTCTCCACCATATGACGAGGGATCGATGACACTGATGTGTGGCATGAGGACGACCTTTTATTTTGAATATTCCCGTTGTGATTCGTTCATTGATTTATTAACCCACACAGAACTGTGTTCGACTACTCTTTGTCTAGGCTGCCGCTCGGTTCTGCCTAGGTAGGTGACCGAGCACCCACAGGTGAATGGCTACAATTGAGGGTATACTGCGAGATTCGTTGCTTGACTGAGGGATCCGGTATTCTGTCGTATGTGTAGACAAAAAACTGATTTGATTGTGTTCAATTTTCATTTGAAGGATGAGCCTAGGTGGAATTCTAAATAATTATTCACTTAATCAACGTTCAACATTTGCCTTTTTACCACCAGGATGGACAAAGTTTCATATTCTGTATATTCCATGCTTAGCTTTATATTCGGGTGAGCTCTATTAGGGCACAGAAATGACTTTAGAGGTAGTTTATCATCTATTTGACAGAAGCTTTATACCACACACATAGGTGCATCTGTTCAATTGTAATTTCAGGGAACAAATATCGAACGAACTGTTGCGCAATCTCAGGTGATGCCATTTTTCGCTACGAATTCTCTCCACAATGCATGAATAAAGTGCACTCTTGACTTGACTTAACTTGATTTGAATTACACAAAATTATTAACAACCAGTTACGTGTACTCGTTTCGTACTGATAATAAATATCCGGCAAGAAATCTTTACTCATTGTTATGAAATGCGTGACTACTATTCAATACGTGAAGGATATCTTTCATCCCCCCTCCCGCTACAAGTGTGTTTATTGTTCCCCTGAAAACTAAATGTATATTGCCAAATAAACTAATTGGAACAACCAACCTTCTTCCCTCATCTCATATTCTATATCTGTTTTCTCTGTGCCATCAGACATGGATGTCCACGATAGAGGGGAAATTGACTCCGGCAGTTCGGGATTATTTGCTCAACTTATTCAACCATTACGTGGATCCGTGTCTCAACTTTGTGATGCATGAATGCACTCCAATCATTCCCCAGGTAATC